GAGAGAGGGAGAGGGGGGAGAGAGGGGAGAGAGAGAGGGGAGGGAGAGAGAGAGAGAGAGAGGGGAAGGAAGAAAGAAAGAAAGAGAGGGAGAGAGAGGGAGAGGGGGGAAGGAAGTAAGAAAGAAAGAAAGAGAGGGAGAGAGAGGAAGAGAAAAGAAGAGACTAGCAGAGGAAGAAGACACACGGGGAGATAGAAAGAATGAAAAGAGGGAGAGACGGGACATAAAGATAGACAGATAGGACAATGAAAGGCTCAGGGAAAGGAGACACAGAGGAGATGGAGGGAGAGAGAAAGGAAAAGATTCATAAAAAAAAGAGGTGACCAATTAACCCCCCAGAGGGGGCGCTATACTGCATTTCAAAGCAAGAAGAAAAGCAGCCACACAGGTCTTGTCCTCCTACATGCCCCAAGGTCTTGTCTTCATGTACCTCAGTTTTGGACACATTTAAATTGTTTTATTGATTTTGCCCTGGGCGTCCCCAATATCAGTTACCCCACATCCCGTCTCCTGGGGTTGGGTAAGTAATCTACCCTTCCCAGAAATAATGGCAAGCGCTTTAAGTTTTATGCCAAAAAATCCATTCTTCTTATATGGAAAATATCCCCTTTCCCCTCATTAACCAAATATGAATATGCGGTAGATTGATTGGATGTGTTTAGATGCTGCAGTCTCACAATGAACCTTAACTAATTGCTTACATGTGATTAATTACACCCACTGACAGCTTATTAGATGCTAACAGCACTTAGCACCTCGACGTCTGACACCCTGAACATTTAACGCAGCGTGAAATCACTTGTTAAACGGCGAAATACACAACGCATTGCCGCTTCGACCCCAAACATCTCAATCTCGCCATCGAGCCTACTCCTAAAAAAAACCCGCTGCCGTCGCCGACCCCGAAAAGCTCTGCCCCGCTTATGACATAACAGAGCTGCCTGCTCACTATCAATCAGACAACCCGGCGTCCGCCAGCTGCCGCCGAACTACAAGTCCCAGCATGCCGAGATCCGAGGACGCCACCAGGCAGCTGCAGCTCTATAGGATACAATTCCATTAACGACACAAATGCAGCAAAAACTAGTTGAAACCCTCTTAGTGCTTCTCTGAGACGCCATTATATGAAGCCCCCCCCCGCCGCTCCACCTCTAGCTGCTCCTATATATCTATGTGACACCATCAATAAATCTCACTATCGCAAACTATCAACAATCTGTTTCTCATTTCATTTGTCGTTCCTTCTCCTGTTACTTCGCGGTCAGGATTCTTCACTGGTGGAAGGGGAGGCCACAAATGTGGATTCGTTTCGTCTTCCTGTCTCACAGTTTTTACTTTTAATTTGGACCTGAACTCAAAAAGGTGAGCTGTGCTACGGAGAACATCTACAAATGTTCATTGTGTCCGAGCAGAACCCAAAGAAATCTTCCTTTTGCATTGAATTCCTCCTGAAAAATGTGGGTGCACTTCCTGTGCCCCGACACTCCTGATAGCAGTGCACTTCCTGTGCCCTGACACTCCTGATAGCAGTGCACTTCCTGTGCCCAGACACTCCTGATAGCAGTGCACTTCCTGTGCCCAGACACTCCTGATATCAGTGCACTTCCTGTGCCCTGACACTCCTGATAGCAGTGCACTTCCTGTGCCCTGACACTCCTGATAGCAGTGCACTTCCTGTGCCCTGACACTCCTGATAGCAGTGCACTTCCTGTGCCCAGACACTCCTGATAGCAGTGCACTTCCTGTGCCCCGACACTCCTGATAGCAGTGCACTTCCTGCGCCCAGACACTCCTGATAGCAGTGCACTTCTTGTGCCCCGACACTCCTGATAGCAGTGCACTTCCTGTGCCCAGACACTCCTGATAGCAGTGCACTTCTTGTGCCCCGACACTCCTGATAGCAGTGCACTTCCTGCGCCCAGACACTCCTGATAGCAGTGCACTTCCAGCGCCCAGACACTTCTGATATCAGAGGACTTCCTGTGCCCAGACACTCCTGATAGCAGTGCACTTCCTGCGCCCAGACACTTCTGATATCAATGCACTTCCTGCGCCCAGACACTCCTATGATCAGTGCACTTCCTGTGCCCATACACTTCTGATATCAGAGGACTTCCTGCGCCCAGACACTTCTGATATCAGAGCACTTCCTGTGCCCAGACACTCCTGATAGCAGTGCACCTCCTGTGCCCAGACACTTCTGATATCAATGCACTTCCTTTGCCCAGACACTCCTATGATCAGTGCACTTCCTGTGCCCATACACTTCTGATATCAGAGGACTTCCTGCGCCCAGACACTTCTGATATCAGAGGACTTCCTGTGCCCAGACACTTCTGATATCAGAGGACTTCCTGCGCCCAGACACTCCTATGATCAGTGCACTTCCTGTGCACATACACTTCTGATATCAGAGCACTTCCTGCGCCCTGACACTTCTTATATCAGAGGACTTCCTGTGCCCAGACACTCCTGATATCAGAGCACTTCCTGCGCCCTGACACTCCTGATATCAATGCACTTCCTGTATCCAGGCACTCCTGATATCAATGCACTTCCTCTGTCCAGACACTCCTGATATCAATGCACTTCCTGTACCCAGACACTCATGATATCAGTGCACTTCCTGTACCCAGACACTCATGGTATCAGTGCACTTCCTGTACCTAGGCACTGGGGTTCTGTAGCCTCATAGCTCTATATCTGCGGTATGAGATCCTCTAGGGCACTGCCACCTCTGACTGCTATTCTCACCAGACTAGGAGTGAGTTTTGGAGAGGTCACCCCTGTGCTGCTCACTGTTCTCCTTGCTGGAGGGGAAGCTGTACCTGAGGACCTGCAGTGCAAGGATCTCCCTGCTTCATTCATTCTGTGGATTCTGTGCTTCCCCCACCTCTCCTGATGTCTTTTCATCATTACCCCACCAGTCATCAGATCACAGGTCATCAGGGGCTTAGGTCCGACATGAGGAATCAAAGCCCTGCTCCTCTACAAAGACAGCGGCCTCCCAACAGAGACACAGTACAGACCAGAGCATGGTATGGTAGCGATGGGAAAAGACCAGCTGCAGAAAGACCAAGGGCAATATTGGGGACAAGTCGATGGCCCTCGGGTTGCCTTTTTGTGGCACGGCACAGTACAGGTCCTCTTAAATATCTTATTCAGTAACATCTTATGTGAACATTGCAAAAAATAAGAAAGATAAGTGGTTGTTGACTGTAAAACAGCAAAGACAGCAGCAAGTACTCGTGTCTTGTAGTGCTGATGCCCTGGGACTGAGTTCTACCTCAAACGTCCTGCAAGGACTGCGCATCTTCTTTGCATTTGGATGGATTTTCTCCAAAACGTACAAGTACGTTACCATGGTTTACACTGAGGACGGGTTGCTTGTCCATACGTGTCCCTTAGATCCTTGGTTCTCAACTGGTGGGACGTGACCCAAAAGTGGGTCGCGACCCTGTGTTCACTGGGTCGCCACATGCCTTCCACTTTTTTAGGTGAGAGGCTCCCCAGCCTCCCCCTAGCGCAGCACTGTCAGTTCTCACGCCAAACAGTCATTCAAAATATGCTGCCTGGTGCTGAGTGGGCAAGGGAGCCCCATACATACGTGCATTGTTTACAGCTCCCTTGCATGTCCTGTAGAGGCGCCTGGACTGGAGTGACGTCACATTCTGGCTCCCGACACCTCTACGGGGTGCGCAAGGGAGCTGTACATGCAATGCACATATGGATGGAGCTACATCACAGTTCAGCAGATTTTGTCTGTGGTTGTGTGCGTCTGTCAGTGTTTTTTAGGGCCCGTTCACACTTGTACAGTGCGTTAATCGTATAGTACCATGTGATTAATGCACTGTACCACGCAATTGCACCTACTGTGCATTTAAATGGCTCCCCCCCTAAACGCAACCCGTGGTACCCTAATGCCGTGCGTTCCATTGCAGTGGGACTTGGGTCGCGACTTATTAACCGAGGACAAATGTGGGTCTTGAGGTTACACAGGTTGAGAACCACTGCCTTAGATTGTATGTTTCTTGGAGGATTTCCTAGAACTGTAAAGAGTCCAGAGGAGGGCAACAGAACTCATAAAGGGGATGGAGGACCTGAACTACGAGACGAGGCTACTAAATTTAAACATGTTCTCATTAGAAATGAGGAGATTAAGGGGGGACATGATTTTCCTGTACAAAATGTTTACCGGGGATAGCAACATTAGCAGCAAACTCTTTACAATTAACTCCATGACAAGGATGAGAGGCCACCACCTAAAATTGGTGGAGAAAAAATGTCAGCACAAGGGGCGCAGGGGGTTCTTCTCAGTTAGATCGGTCAGGGTCTGGAACTCGCTGCCGCAGGCCGTGATTTCAGCTGAGAGTGTGGAATCATTCAAGAGGCGATTGGACGATTTCCCTTAGAGACCATAACATACAGGGGTACAAGTACTCTTAAAGGAGAACTACAGGGTCAGGGCTTTTCCTCATAGTTCTCCTTAGGGTAACGGGAGGACACAAACTAGCGTCCTCCCGTCACCCTAGGCTCAGTATATAGGGAGCTACAGCTCGCGGTATACCGAGACGCCGCAGCTGAAGCGGATCCCGACAATTGTGCCGGGATCCGCCCAGCTGCGTGACTGACAGCTGGCTCCGCCTATCTAGAGGCAGAGCCAGCTGTACCTGCCCCCTCCCCCGTCCGTTCCGCCAGTCATGACAGGATCGAGAGGTGAGCGAACGCCGGTATGTGTTCTCTCACCCCCCGACAGTCTCATTGTCACAGGTCGGCTAGAACTATGAGGTGAGTGAAAAGCACCCCCCTCATAGTTCTCCTTTAAGAATGAGAACACACAGGGACCTATACATACATACGCACACATCAGTAGGACCATACACACACACACAATAGGTTGGACTTGATGGACATATGTCTTTATTCAACCTTATTTAATTACTATGGAGGCATGCTGGATGACAATGGGTCAGTGTCCTCTGTGGACACATTCTGAAAGCAGCAGAGCCAACCAAGTCCCAAATATTCAGAAAGTGTACAAATGGTTTTAGATGGGACATTCTGGTTTCCACGATGAGGGCTGGAAGCTCCCAAACTGAAGATTGCAACATCGGTGACAAGATCTGAGGATGAGAACTGGACTCTACAAAGAGGTTCTCAACATGGAAGAGGGAAGTGACGGGTGTGGACTTTGGCCAAAAAAATGTCTTCAGGACTTTGAACAGGACAGGAAGGAAAACTGAGATCCACCATCGCCAGGGGTACATCCTGCTTCTACAGAACGGACCCCGAGACCATGCCAATATGGTTCGGCCAAAGGAAAGAGAATGACCGCCAATGGCCAACTCAAAAAAGACTGAGTGCTAGTAATATGGCCGCTCAAAAGAAAATCATCTGCGCTCAGAAGTAATCCTCGATGAGGGGCAAAGGAGCTCAGAAAACAGTTCTTGGAGTTCCTTCCATAAAATGAATCAGACTTTCGGACCTCATCACATATTTTCCTAGAGCTGCTCTAAAGAAACTGCTCTGCGTGGTCACCTTCCGTCTCTCCCAGACTGCCCTCTGCGCCTCTCGCAGGACTCCCGCTCACACTGCACCCATCCACATCTGCATCCTGAAGTCTCCACAAACAACGGAGACTCTGAACTCTGACTACACAATGTTTCACTTCCCCATTGCTGCCATGGAAGCATGAGAACCCTATTCCTGCTTTAGTTGGGGGGGTTTTAGAGGAGAATTTTGGGGTTACAGAGGAGTTGGGTGGTTTGGATACTCACAACCCTTGTAGATGTCGGTAGGGATCTGCACCGCGGTGTACGAATAGTTCACTTTCGCCTTGAAGTTCAGATCGTCGGTAAAATCTAGTTTGAGGGAGTGGCTGGCCTCCCGCAGCTCCTCCTCCCCCTCTGGGTCATCCTGTTGAAGACGATACCAAGTCAGGTCAATGAATAGCAGGAAAGCTACACAACACGTTAGGAGTTTCTTAATAGGGATACAGGAGACGCTGCATTGGGACATATAACTCCCAGCAGCTGTCGTGATTTCCAGTTGATGCACCCGGGTGTGTCCAATGCTGATTGTTTGTGACAACTGGGTGGCTCCTGAGCTCCTAGGAGCCACTTCTTATCATACCGGAAACTCAAATGCTCAATCTGTGTAGTATAGTGAAGGATCGATGTGTGGTGTATATGTAATGCTCTCATCATTGGCTAAGAATATCAACAGGTTGGGCCATATATACAGTATATATATATATATATATATAATCTATCTAATCCTTTAAAGGAGAACTATGAGGCGAGTGAAAATCACTCATCCTGATATTTCGAGCCGATGTGTGACAATGAAACTGTCACACGTCGGCTCAATAGATCGGGAAGTGAGCGAACACATACCGGCGCTCGCTCAATCATGTCCCCGCAGTGAGCGGTGACGGGTCAGTCACGGCTCCCTGCAGGGATCCCCCCCCTCCCCTGTCCGATCCTCCAGCGCTGACTGGCGGAACGGACGGGGGAGGGGGCGGGCACAGCTGACTCTGCCTCTAGATAGGCAGAGCCAGCTGTCACTCACGCAGCTGGGTGGATCCAGACAGAATTGTCGGGATCCGTCCCGGCTGCGGCGTCTCAGTATACCGCGAGCTGTAGCTCCCTATATACTGAGCCTTGGGTGACGGGAGGACGCTAGTTTGTGTCCTCCTGTTACCCTTAGGAGAACTATGGGGAAAAGCCCTGACCTCATAGCTCTCCTTTAATTGAAACTTTGTATTGATCTGTCTGAGCTGGCAGGAAAGGGGAGAGGAGCAGGAGGGGAAAATATCATACATCATTTACATATACTGTTTATTGTCTGATATTTTCCCCTCCTGCTCCCCTTTCCTGCCTGCTCAGACACATCAATACAAAGTTTCAATTAGAGGATTAGAGAGAGACAGTCTGAAGGCAAACAGCTCCTGCTTTACTCTCTCCCCCTGCACTAGAAAGTTTTATATGAATACGAACAAATATAAATCACTTTTATAAAAACATATCAACTTAAATATCGGCCCAATAAATGTACAGCACTGTAATGACACTTACGTATTCTGTATCAGCCTTGGCGTCATAGTACTCAATATCTTCCTCCTAAAAAAAGACAGAAAAGCATTGTGTGTACAAGGGGAGCATGAGGATATAAGACGATGACATCACAGGGGTAATATAATATACGGTAATAACGGTAATATACAGGGGTACAAGTACTCCTAAAAACGAGATGACTCGGGGATCTTTACACACACACAATAGGTTGGAATTGATGGACATGTGTCTTTATTCAACCTCAAATACTATGTAACTATGTAACAGCAGTGACAACATTCCTATCCCAGCTGCAGGAAGAGCAGCATTAATGCCGGGAGGGGTACGCACTGCAACCGCCTGAATGGGGCCCTCGTTGATCAATAGCACAAGGTACAGATCAATGACCATATTGATTGCCTTCGCTCTGCCTTGTTGAACGAGCTGACGGTTTACAATGTTTCCAAGTCTGTAACAGGCAGACACGTGTAGAAGAATTCCGATCTTCAAACCTGGGTGCTCCGCCTCTTCCTCAGCCTCTTGTTATAGGCGGGCAGTTCTGAACCCTCCGATGCGATAGGAGCGCCCCCTGCTGTCAGTGTGACACGTCGGGGGCTTCTTCATTCAGGTTCCAGATTGGAAAGTTTCCTCCGTTCTCCGATTATGAAACGTTTTGCTGGAGGTTGCTGCTCAATATTTCCTTTTATGACTTTGCTACTTTTTACATTTCAACTTTATTTTCTGTATTTCATGCACATTTGCTGAGTTTATTAGAAATTAATAAGATTAGTCCAGGCACTAGAAGGACACACAGCCGTCCATAAGTGTCAGGGACCCAGGGAGGCCTTTCCTCGTCAGGTTCGCGGGCATCGGGCACAGGTAGCTCCTCCTTCTCCCCCTGGCAGGGCATCTGGCGCTGGTGTGGCCAGTGCGCGTGTGCAAGTCGCGTAGTGTGCCTGCGCCATTCCAAGCCACAGGTGCTACTCAGGCTCGGGAGGACTTCAGCCTTCACCACTTGTCCTCAGCCTTGTGATTGGACTCTGACTGGGGAAGCTTCCTGGTTGCCCTGGCAACCAGGGGGCGGTCGTGGGTTCCCTGTGTATTTAAAGCTGGTCAGAGCCTTGACTCATTGCTGAGTTATTCTACCTCATGGTGAACACCCAGCTCCCTCCTGTGAACCTGTTATTTGATCTGACTTCCCGGCTACCGACCCTTTTGCTTGACCCTTCGAATACGATTCCTGCTGCCCGCCACGACCCAGAACTGGACCTGACTCCCCGATTGGATTATACTTTTGTACTGCACTTTTTGGACGTTATTCGTCCCTGCCAAGGGGTTCCACACCTGGCCCATTATTCCAGCCCTGACAATAAGGTCTGGATGGTACACGCTGCCCCTCCACCACCCCCCAACCCCCCCAATAAAGACAATGACTTTGGCAAAAAATGGCGGAACCCAAATTTATGGACTTTATTCCAACACATAGACCACTACGAAGCTCCACCGCAGACCATGGAACCTCCCCCACTGCCCAATAAATGAGGACGCCCTCAGTGACGACCTCTCAGACTTCTTCAAGGCCCATTGTATGTGCTCTCATGTTCCTGGAGCGCTTGAGGCCCCATCCTGAAGTCCCTCCAGCTACCCATAGGGAGGTTGAGATGCGCCCTTTGGATAACACCCACCATGCCAGACATGCGACATCTCCACCTCCCCTCCCCCTTTTCTGCCCGCAGTACTAGAACTCCTCGGCACAGTCAGAGCTCGCTCCCACTTGCAGCCCTGCACCAAATCCACCACACAAGATGATCCCGATCAAAAGAAAGAAAGTGTCACTGAAGCTGCATAAAAAGTGTCATCTGGAGTTGGCCTTTAACTCGCTCGTCTCTTGACGTCCATTGCCGAGTCACAAGGGCGACAACACTGCCGCACTAGTTTACTGCAAATGGACCCTGTTAAAGGAAGTGGGAGAATAACGGATCTACTGGCAGGACCAACAGCTAATGAAATTGTTTGATGAAGGGGGGAGAAGAGGGGTGTGGGGGGGAGGAAAAAACAACTGCTCTCCCTCAACACACAAAAACACAGAGATGTGAATGGGCAGCGAAGTTAAAGAAGGAGGCCGTATCCTCTCCCCGATGAAGGAAGCGAGGACGTAGATTTACACCCTCTGGCACTCAAGGAGTTAAGATCGACATTACAGTCATAACTGAAAATATATACACAGTGAAAACACGCCGCAATTTCCCTTCAGAAGAGATTTCCGCGGAGGGCTATTTACAA